TCCTCACATCAGCTCAGCCACCTCCATCAGCAGCACAGGCTGTTGGGAGCTAATCCCAATGCTCTGCTTTGCTCATGGGTGGCAAAGTGCTTCTGGGTCACAATGCAGGAGCCCAGCATCCGCCAGCAGGCAGGGAAGGAAGGCAAAGCATCCCAGTGGTCACCAAGTTTGGGGCCACATCCTCAAATTCCTGCACAGAACTGCTGGGTTGGCTGAGATTTAGTAATCAGATCAGGAGAGGGGGGTTATCTGCTGTTCTCCAAACCAGCATCTCTAGCCAGGTTATCCTTCCATGCTCATCCAAGACAGTGGCATCAATGAAGACAGGAATGACACCGCTCTGGGGTCATTATCTCTAGGGAGATTCCCTAGAAGAGGCACAAGAAATAGGAAATGGAAGCCTAGGAAAATCAAACATGGCATATTTTACCCAATATTTGCCCAGAATGTTCACTAAAGTGCTGTCTGAGGGAAGAGGCAGCAGGGAGATGGCCATCTGCATCCCCCAAATCAAACCAAGCACAGAGCCAGCAAGAAAAAAGGTTCTTTGCATCCCTCTTCCTCCCCATGCACCTGTACAGGGTTAAGCATATTCAAACCCGCTGTCTTATCATGCATTATGCAAGGGCACGACCCAGCAGTGAGGGTTCCATCACACAGCTGCTGTCCAAGGAGAACGTCTACATACTGATTCCTCCCTACAGGAGAAGGCAGACTGGAAAGGAAAAAAAGGTCTTTACAGGAAAGAGATGAGCATAGTAGATTCCTCACTTGTAATTCTATCAGAGATGATTAAATCTGCTACCCCTAAATAAGGTCATTTTTCTGTCTTTCTTTTTCCTCTAGCCTTTCCCCTCCTTTGTCTGCTTCCTCTGGGCAGGCACCAGCATCAGGCTTCTCCATGCATCATCTGAATCTCTTTTCCTCTCAGCAAAGCAGACTTCCCAAAAATAGACAAAGGTGTGATTTCAAGCCACTGAAGAAGGTTTTCCCTTTTGAACCAGATTTATTTCAGTTGATTTTATATCATAATTTCAAATGAAACTGAAAAAGGAACGTGGCACACATTCACTTTCCAAACAGCCTTTGTCTCATTCATTTAATCACTGGCCCAATCACAAAGGCACAGCAGCAGAACATGTGCACAACTCAGCTCCTCTGGTGTAAAATCCAGCAGTTTGGTGTAAAACCACTGCATCTCTACATAGAATGACAGCTTCTCAGCTTCCCAAATCAACATTTCTTCTCCTTACGTAACTCCTGCTCACGGTTACAGACCACCTTCCTCCTACAAAGCCACACAGTGGGAATTGGTATCAAAAGCCAAAAGTCACACCAGCTAGAAGGCAGCCTGTAGGGTGGTGAGGCACTGGAACAGGCTGCCCAAGGAGGCTGTGGATGCCCCATCCCTGCAGGCATTCAAGGCCAGGCTGGATGTGGCCCTGGGCAGCCTGGGCTGCTGGCTGGTGACCTGCACACAGCAGGGGGTTGGAACTGGATAAGCATTGTGGTCCTTTTCAACCCAGGCCATTCTATGATTCTGTGATAACAAATGCAACTGAAGGGACTCCATCCCTCCAAGCTCTCCTCTTTTTAACAGCAGACAGAGATATCTGGTTACCAAAGGTAACGTGGTCACTGTTCTGACAGTCCTTCCCCCTCCTGGCTGCTACACTCCAGCTAAAGCAATAGACTCTGTGCCTTTTTAACACTACAACAGGCATGGAAGGGATGCCCTGGGAAGGCAAGTGGCCTGCAGCATGGTTCCTCCATTAGAATGTAGTCGGCACAGGGAGAAGATGGAGCAGCTTTGTCCTATGGACATATCAAAAATAGCTGACCTGCTTGCAGGCACTGCTGAGGTTGTCGTGATGTGACTGACCCGCTTTTTCCATGCTTGAAGGTAGCTTTAAAGATGTCTCGTGATGCCACAGCAGTCCTTTCGTGGCACTTCACAACGTGAGGTGGCTTACTAAATTTGGGCAGAAAGCGAGCATAGGAAATGTTGACCTTTGAACGCACAGCATGTGATGTCAGAAGAAGGCTTTGACTCAGAGCAGTCAATATGTCTGCTCACAGCTAGACAGGAGAGCCACAAACATCACAAACAGAAATACCAGGTGCCTGATGAGCAGAGGAGCTAACAGGTCTATCGAGAGCAGCATCTCCTTCTGTGCACGCCATCCTCCTCTCAATAAAGAACACAAACTGAGTGCTCCCATACCCGGAGCTGGGGGTTCCAAAGTGGGGTTCAATGCCAAGCTCAAGGACACAGCAAGGATAGCCAGCAGCACATGGAGGGGGAGGGAAGCAATGCAGGAGGAGAGGAAGGGAACGGGGAGGCAAATAAATAAGGACAATGCACAATTTATGAAGACAAGAAGGTAGTAAGTGCTATTCACCCAGAGTGTAAATTGGTATTGATGTCACAACACAGCCCAGCCAAAAAATAATGATGATGATAATTTAGGGCTTGTGCTATATCTCACTCAAAGCCACGGTCCCATCCAACAGCAACTCCCACCCTGCCGCCTTCTTCCCCTTCTCTGTTCATTGGTGTCCTCCTAAATCAAATACACTCAATGCTGATTTGATTAGATTCCCTTCTTTTATTTATCATCCATCCCTCACTCTTCCACTCTCAAGTTCTCAGTGGGCATCTTGCTCATTTTCTGGCACCAGGCAGTGCTTGGAGGAACAAGCCCATCTCCAGAGGAGTTACAATCCTCAGGCCGGTCAGGATTCGTGCATCCTTCCCAACCCTCATCTGTCATCCTTTAATCTCGCCTGTTTTATGCTCCAGATCCTGGCTACCCAGTCCTGACTTCCCAGCTTTATAGCCCTGACTTACTTCCCTCCTGTAACATTTTACTGCTCGGTTATCGGCCCTGAGGGGCCTCATTTACACAAGCGCTGTTTTCGCTATAGTTAAGACTAATTCACTGGGCTGCAGTTGGCTCTTGCATCCCGCATTCAGCTCAGCTCCCTGTCTCCTCTCTCCTGCAGGGAGGCAAAGGATTTTCTAATGGATGGGAGATTTACTTTCTTTCCTAATTTTTTTTTTTTTTAATTACAGTTATTAATCCCCTTTTGGGTGTTCCAAAGCCTGAATTGAATTCTCCCCCTGCGCCTGCTGCGATTCTGCCTGTTCCCCTTTGGTGCACACGTGCCCTCTGTGTAAGGTCTGTGGGACCTTGAGAAGGAGACTTGCTCAGGGATCCACTCTTTCAATCCAGCTGTAAAAGGGGTGCAGCCCTGGGAAGGCCATGACTGCACTCATCGCTCCAGCTGGGCCTGCAGTTTATTCTGCTTACAGCCCAGCTTTCCTACAAAGCACAGCACAGTGTCCTTCCCTCACGCTGACCCCCCCCCAGAGCCACAGCATCACCTACAGAACAACAGGAGCCAACCAGGGCCACCTGCACAGCCTCCCTGTGCCCAGACCAAGCAGGACCAACAGGCAACGTGCAATGCCCAAACTGAATCCATTCGACCGCCCAAGCAAACGAGAGGGAAATTCCAATTGCAGAATCCCATCAGAACCTCCCACGTGCAGTGAATCTGCCCAGTTCTGTTTCAGGGAGCTATGTAGCATCAGCTTAATTCCGGATAGCACGGTAACAATGTCAACTCTGTGCCAGAGAAAATGTGAATTTGTAAATAATGCCATCCTTTGCTGTCCGCCCTGACGGGATCAAAAGCTTATTGCTAACATTTTTTTTTAAATTAGATTTTCCAACCTATTGTAAGAGATAAATAGATATTATCCCTATTTTATTGACAGATAAACTGTGGCACGGAGGAATTAAATGAGTTGCCTAAGGTCAGACAATGAACAGTTTAGAGACTGGATCAATGGAGTCATTCTTTTCTTCTCATTTCGGTGTTTCTGGACGGCCAACCCTGCAGGGCTTTGGCACACACTTGCAAATCATTTTCTGAAACCACCAATATTGGCATAACTCCGTTCCTATGGATGCCACGGACAGAATCACAGCGTCTTATTATCTTAAATGGCAACAAAGCAAAAGCAGCACCAAGTGCAGGTTAGAATCTCACCCAAAGGCAGAATCGATAGATCTCCAGAGGACCTGGCAATATTAAAAAAGATGGGCTTCTGGCTACTGTGGGATTGCACATAAATAACAATATTCCACAGCCACAGTTTCTCTATTTATTTCACTTAAATTAGTTTCCTGGGCAAAAAAGACCACAAACAGATCCTTACCCCTTCTTTTTTTTCAACCATGTATGCATAAACTCATGCAAAAATACCCCTTTTTAATAAACAGGGATGTACCTGCATTCACCCCACGTTCACATGACCCTAAAGAAATGGGATTATATTCCTTAGAGGCCTCCAGCTATGAGACTCTGAAATGGGAGCCCAAATAACACACGCTCATCTCTCCAGGTTCTGAAAGCAGCTTTTAGATGGTACGTTCAGCAGCTGGTAAACTCTACACAGACATAAGCAAAGCATAAGAAGACATAATAAGACATAAGCAACATGTGTTATTGTCCTGTACACTACCAGATCCCAGAACAACACGTTCAGTGCAGGTGGCAGCACTTGGCCACCGTGCTTCTCTGTAACTTCCATCCCCCAACTCCTTCCAGTTCACGTGTCATAGAAGTGGGGACTGCACGTGTGCTTGTCTTGTAGCACATTGATGATACATTCAAATCTTTTAAATGTGTGTTCAGACATAGGAAAGAGCAGGTCAACACCGAGTGTGGTTAATGAGTGTCTCCAGCAAGAAGACTCCATAAGGAAGCACTCAAAGGACAACAGATATGCTGGAGAAAACATCCCAGGTGGTTTTCAGGCCTGTGGACGTGGTTCTGTGGACTTAAGAGTGGTGAAAAAGCACTTCCTACAAGCTTAGCAATCCCTCCTTGTCCCCCGAATTATTTGGAGAACAAAGCACCCAACGTTCCAGCATTCCTATCTCCAGAGAGAGCATCCGAACCACAAGTGAGAAAGAAGTGTCACATACCTCCCTTGTGCTGGTGATCCCAATGCTGTCAGTGTTTTATAGGAGTTCTGCTCTTGCACGTTTTTGGAGCTCCAGACTGCAGCTCACAGCGATGGCACACCTGGAAAATAAAGGAAAAACTTCAGGAAAGGCTGCACTTCAGAGGCAGCCACTGAAGAGCAGTTATTAAATGGGAAGATGTGCAAATGGCCTTCTGGCGAGCTGCTAGTGCTGTGGACTTGAGCAGCTGCTGCTGTTGCTCCAGTTTCAAGGTAGGAGATGATGATAGAGGATGGGGTGAAAGGCGAAAGGAAGAACAGGAGAATCAAGAGGAGAATTCCTTTGCACATCTCTTCTTTTGCCCTTCTTGGATGAGCAGAACTCCCCACCTTGCACCACGCATCAGAGTACATCAGCAGGCTGAAATTTTTCACAGAACTGAGGCAGAGACTGCAGGAACTGGGGGCAGATCTGCTCCAAGATTCATCCACCCTGGCACCCTCCCAAAAACAACCCCAAATCTACAGAAAGCAGCTTTTCCTTCCTGATAAACTTTCATCCAGAGGTCCTTGCGATTGGAACAGCGATTCTCACTGGCTGCAATTACATGGAGGCCATTGCAGCTCCCTCCCATGGGACCTGACAACCAGCACAGCTATGCCCTAATTTGAAACCCTCTCACCACCCTATTCTCTACTAACAACGCTGCTACCAAATTTAGGCCATTTTTCCTAGCAAGACTGAGACTATTTCCTCACACTGCACAGGCTCCAAGAGGGTTAAAAGCCATCTTGCTCTGGATACACTTTGCACGACTCTTAATTTCTAAAGCACTGCGTTTCAAGCCATAAACTCAGACTGTTATTTACTTTCTTGAAGATGACACGGAGCCAGCTTCTCCCTGTCTCTCCCTCTGTCTGCTCTGCTGCCTTTTGGAGGCATCCTTTGGTACTGCTGCCTGGCTCAGGGACTTCCCAAGTCAGTGCCTGGATGGCAAATTGCTGCCAAGCAATGGCCCAGGAGAGGGAAGCAGGGAAGCTCTGTTTCCTTGCTCTGGGGGGGGAGGCAATGGGCAGAGGGGCACAGGGGAACAGAACAAACTTGTTCTCAGAGCAGCATGGCGCCCAGGCCAGCAGGTCTCTTTTATCCTGTTTCAGTTCAGTAAAAGCGTCAATTAACTCCACATTAATTATTAAATCAGAACAATGCGTCTCTGGGTTCCGACAGCTAAATTCTGTTACTGCTGTTTCTTAGGGGAGCTCGGCTAGCCTTACAACTTAGGACATAAATATCTTTCTTCAAGGAGTTTCTGGGTTGTTGTTTTTATTCTCCTCTCTGTGGGTGCATTTTTAATCACAGTCCCTTACCCGTGCATGGAGGGAAGCATTTCTGAGCCTGCTGCACCTCAAAAACATCACACCTAACACACACAGCTCTTCCAGGCTCTGAAAGAGCCACGAGAGTTCCTCCACCCTGCAAGCATTTGCACAGCCCCTCTGGGAGGGGCTGCTTCCTCCTAAAACACTGCAGGGCATCCAGGTACACCATGCTATTTCATTCTACTGCTGCTTCTCACCCTTCCCCTCTGTGGATGCTCCACTTAATTCTACCAATTAAGGCCAGTCTGGAAATATTTCTTCTTCTCCCACTGCTGCTAGACACACGCTCTTACTGTGTGCTCTTCTGCTCCCATAGGATGGTGTTCACCACCAAGCAGACAGCCCTCCCCACACATACCCTGCTCAGCCCATCACTATCCCTTTTCTTGCCCCAGACATTTTGGTGGCAAATGGAAAAGGTCTCCTGAAGGACACCTTGCTGGAAGGTCTTCTCTCTGCCATCCACTCATGAAGCTCTACGACTTCCTAAGGTATGAATGGCTCCAGCGCTGCAAAATGCTTTTATTTCTTATGTGAATTTAATGCCTTTGGGAAAGAGCCAACCTAATAGAATTGAATGTAAAAGCTTTATAGGTACCAAACGGGCGCAGCAAAGTCTGACAGAATATCTGTACACTGGAAGGAAAAAGCTCTGGGGGTCAGAGGGTCTTCATTTCCCAAGCAAGGAAGACACCAGCTTTATGGACAAAGAGAGAAGCTTCTTCCTCTCCTCCCATCCTCATCTTTCTCTAGCAATTCTCTCCCTTTCTTTCCCTCATTGAGAGTTTTTGCTTCACTACTCACTGTGTGCAGAATGCAGTAATGTGATTAGAAGCTCCTGGCTGGTTGGTCAGCCATCATTTTCATCTCTCTGCACTGCTTGGGTTTCTCTTCCTACCCGAACTGTGGGAGCTGGCACAGCTTCGTGCCTGACCTGCGGTGCCACTGAATACGTGAGATTTGTTTTGCCTTTGTTGGAAACGACTGCAATATTTGCTGTAGCAGACTGACTGTCAGCTCATGTGTCCCTCAGTGGTGCCACCGACCGCAGCCCTCCAGTTCTCTTGGCAGAAACGGTGAGGGGGAAGAAAAACCTAAAACAAACACATTTGTCTTAGATAAGCTGCTCGCACACTTGTTTTTCAAAAACAGAACGGTCTAGACATGATCAGCAGCACAAATTTACTTTTCATCTTGCAAATGTTTCAAGACGCTCTGCACAGTGTTGCCTGCATGACTTGCCTGGGAGCGGAGCATCGGCGCACGCCATGCTCAGTGCATTCCTGCTCTTGCACTTCCCAGGTGTGAGGTCGTCCTCTGAGCTGGGAACACAACAACCTGCTCAGAGTGTGGGAAGGGTGGATGTCTGGAGTGTGTGTGGCACGACCAGCCTCAAAAATGAGGTGCTGGGCAGTGCTGCAACGAGCACAAATTCAGCCCCTTCTGCTCCATGCTTCCCTGTGTGCCCCTTTGGCGAGTTGAGCACTGGCTGATGAAAATCAAGCTCTTCATCCCCTGTGCTGCAGCCCCACATTTGCAAAATCCGCCTTTCAAAGAGTTGTTAAGATCTGGGATGAAAGCTGCTATTATGCCTTACAGTTAATTAGGTAATCATTATTATTTATTATCACGGGAGTGTCTGGAGAAATGGTATGAAAGCAGAATAGCAAGCTTGACCTTCTGTACTCACATCTCAATCTGGTTGGATATACAGACATTATTTATCACACGTTCCTTTGCTACCTGGAAAGTTCCTCATGAGAGGAGCCTGTTTGTTCTGCAAGAAGTTTTGCAACAATCCAGAATGCCACAGCACAAATTCCGTGACGGCGTATTACCATCATCAATAATAATTATCAGAAATCATGATAATTACCAGCAAAGCTGCCTGCTGCAGATAGCAACATCCATCTCAGAAGGACAGCTGTGCACACTGAGGCTTGTCTGCTTCAGAGGAGTCCACCCGTTCACTCTGGAAGGTGGAAAACGTCCAATGCAGGGCTCTGTGATGCTCCTGCTTACAGCAGATTTATGTCAGTGCAGCTCCTCTGACAGCAGCAGGATTGCTCTTCTGCACCAGGATCAGGGCCAGCTTCTCTGCAGGGGAAAAGAGAAAAGAAGGAAGCTGAGCTGTCTGCATTTGTGTCTGTGCCTCACACTGTGCCCTGTTTAAAGCAAGGCAGCAGAGGGATGCTTCTCCCTTCCACCAGCAGGGCCTGATGAGGGCAGTAAGAATTGCTCATGGCTGCATCCTTCATGTGGGCATCTCACAGCCGGGCAGGTAGGGATGCTGTCCCCATGCTTCAGGTGCACAGAGGCCACATAGAACAGCTGGAGAAGCTGGGAATACAGTCAAGAAAGCCCAGCTTCATAGGCCCTCAGTACAGCTTGCAGATGGCACCCATAAACCACAGCAGTGAGGCAAGTCTGGCTGGTCATTTTGATGAATGAGTTCACACACAGCCCCTGAGCTCAGCTTAGCAACACCAAGTACAGAAGGGAGCCTGATCCAGAACTGCCCAGTGACCATTCTATGGGCTTCACCCCCAGCACATGCCAGCAGAGCCCACCAGAATCAGACCCACAGGAGCAAGGAGGAGGCCCTGCTGTCTTACCCTGGATCAGGAATCCATTCTCAGAGGATTAATTATCTGTACTGTTAGGCAAACACGGGCTGAGCAGGGCTGCTCCTAATCGAAAACAGCCTGCTTGTTTATTTCTATCATTTTTTTTTTCCTCCCATTGTCTATTTTGATGCTTGTAAAAAAGCAAAGCTGGGAGCTGTGTGCCCGTGGTCTCCTTGCAGCAGCCTGCAAAGCCCCCATCAGCCAGGAAGGCACAGCAGAGACGTTGTGAGCTCCCAGGTCTCTCCCATGCAAGGACTGCATGGCCAGACAGGTTACAGGGGAGAGTTATTAAAACCAGCTGAACTTGAGCAATACTGGGCAGCTTGTAATATTATTTTTGTTAATGTAGCTGCTTATAGGCCCCAGTTTTTCTTTTATTTTTTTGGCACAGGACCGACCACATACCTAACGCCTGAACAAAAGTGGGAATACTGGAGGATTAGGAATACCTAAATTTATGGCAGGATTAGCTGGAGTTTTATCCTGCTTGACAAAGAACTAAAAAGCACAATCAAGAAGACATTCCAACCCCATTATCTCCTACCCCTGCTGTGAAGAATGCAGAAAGATCACACCCAAAAAAAGAGTTTATGACATCCTCTGGAGGTATCTCGGTCTGTGACCAGAAATCAGCACGTTAGTTGAATAATGCTACACAAAAACAGTAATAATTCTGTAAGAATTAGACAAAAATATATATATATATATTTCTTCTCTTGCTTACATCACTTCTGCATAAAACAAAGCTAATGAAAAGAGAACCAAGCCCAAAGAAAATATTTGGTTAGATCTCATTCCTCTGCCAAAGAAATTTACTGCTGAGCTTAATGGAGTAGGACCAGCACCAGAAATACCTGCGTCCTCCACGCAGCCCTATCACTCAGGGCTCTGTTTGGATGTTGGCTGAGAAATCAGCACGGCTGTGACCAGAACAAACCATCCAGGTGTTAATCCAGCACACCTTTCCTAGAGCATGCTTCAACGTCCCTGTTCCTGAGCAGGGACATCAGCTGCATGCACCTCTTGGAGCTCCGGGGCTCTGGTGGCTCGGGGCACAGGGACAGAAGTTGGGCTGGAGCCAGGCGAGAACAAGGGACAGAGCCAGGGGAAGGGGGAGGATGGGGAAGAACTGGGAGCTGATTTTTATATGGGAAGGTTCTCAGCACTGCTGCAAGCCACACACATGCAGTTACAAAGCATTTTCTCTTTAGAATTCCATCTTTTTGAGTCTTCGCTCCTACGCTGGTCTGGACATTTTAAACACACAGATCTTGCAATCCAGAGGAATGGGGTGGGGGGGAGAAGGGAGGGAGGCACCAACAGTGCTATTTTTCAGCAGTAAACACTCGCTCACTGCAAGCCTGTGTAAAAACATTTGAGAAGCACCACCGGAGCAGAATAAAGCCTTCCTCCCCTCCCCAGGCCCAAAGTTTGGCTGGGGCAGCTCCAGCTCAGCCCATGGATGCTGGGGCAGCAGTGGGACCCCCAAGGGAGGCCGCCCACCCACCACAGCTGGCAGCCAAAGGCACAGCATGGAGCCAGCAGCAGCCCCAGATAGCACAGGAATGGGGGCAGCTTCCTGGAAAGAGCCCCAGGGATGGTGGGGAATGATGGGGAGTTTTTGCCATCTCACCCCCCCCCCATTTCTCTTTCCAGCAAACCAGCACAGTCCTTCTTTTGTGATGAGAGAGAGACAGTGGTGGAAGATGCTAGGGGCGCTCATTCCTCCTTGATATTTAAGGAGATAAAGTTGATTTCTTGCTTTTTGTTTTTATGACTCCTCCAAAATGGTTGAAAACGTTTAACAGTCTAGCTGTGACATAACGAGGGAGAGGAAAGGTTTCACATGGAGTGTTGATAACAGCTGAAGAACTGTGCTCCAGCAGGTGAAATGTGACAATTACTCCTTATTTTCAAAACCAAAAGCAGAGCTGGGTGGTTCAATGCTACATGAGGCTTAGACATGCACAAAGAATGAGAAACGCTGTGTATGTGAACCCTGAACAAGAAAGTTTACCATGGTCAAAACTATTCTGCACTATAAACCATACCCCAACCTGCAGATCCTTTGATACAGGCTGCTTTCACCAAATTGCAACACTAGTGAGAAGAGATGAGCTGTGCTGGAGACATCTTTATCATCTGAAATCTCTTGCCACCAGCACCCAAGCTGAACAATTACACTCTTAATAACAATTTCAGTAGTTCAATATATAGAAACTGAGCATTCATGGTTGCTCATCCCAACCTGCACGTTGCTGCGTTCTGCCTCTTGCTGGTGTTCTGTAATTTATATGATCACACAATCCCTCTGCTGACACCGATGGAGGCAGGAATTCACTGTGATACGGCCTGCAAGAAAACATTCAGATGCTTCAGCTTTTAAATATGCCACAGATGGAAAGTATCGTTGGTGGTGCGTTAACAGAAACTCTCTGCTGCCTCCTTCCTGAGTGCTGGCCACTGCTGGCATGACAGCACTCAGATAAGAGCTGAAAATTACAGGTTTGGATGATTAACTCCATTTCACCCTCAGATGTTCTATATTGTAATGACTGAAGAAGAGACTGCTGTGATCATTGGGTCAGTGCTCCATGGTTTTACTTAGCTTGCATCTGCCTCTTGAAAAAGTTGGGCTTTGCAAGGTAGACCACGTGTCCGTGTTGTGACAGCATCTGCTGAGCAGCATAAAGGACTCAGCTCTGGGAAATCATGAGCACAAGGACCATGAGAGAAAGCCTGAGAGGAAAAGGATTTAGCAAGTAATAAGGATGGGCATGTGCCCACACCCCAGTGACTTCAGTGGAGACCACTCACCTGAGTTAAAGGGCAGCTTTCCCCTTTGCTGTTGTTCCTTGTTTCAGCTGAAAGGAGGTTAGGAGGCATTGGGTTAGTGCACGTTTTCATAGCCACAGTGGGCTTAGCTGTGGGAGTTCCTTGTTTATTAGCTGCGTATTAAATATGCATGACAGTAAAAAGAAAACACTGAACATGAACATAAATCCCCCTTAGATGCCATACAGCCGTGCAGCTGAACGGTGGGCACTGAGACAGCATCTCCAGGCTGAGTCACATCCACGCTGTGCATCGTGCTGCTTCCCACCAAGGGAATGGCTGCAAAGGTGGACTGGAAGAGCAGGAGGAGCTCCAGCCCCTCCAACAGCCCAGTGCCCGGATCCCTGGTGCTGGCAGCCTCGCTGTGGGCTCTGCCAACGGTCCTCATGCTCCTGCATCCTCCCAGGGCTGCACCCATCCCAGTGCTGCCGTGCCTCCTGGTTGAAGGAGAGGCCTAAAATGGACACAGCTGAGGTCTTTTCTTGCTGTTGGAAGTCAACACGCAGCTGTGTGCTCCCAGTCTGTGACAAACTCACACTCAGTCGATCATTTCACAATCACTGTTACTCAGAGCCACCAAGAGCACCCAGCTCTGTATGGCCAATCTGAGGTCATTCCTTTTGCATTTTAATTGACCACAGGAGCATTCCCCTTTGCTGTTACCATTACCATACAGAGAAGAGTGAATTAATGGCCGCCACATGGAATTTATTGTTTTTTACATGACAGTACCTTTCTCTTTCACCTTTGCAGCCATCACCTCTGGTCACTCCTTCCCACCTTCGCTCTCCGTGAGTGTGCAGAGTTACAGCTGTGATGGAAAGCAGTCCTGCATGGAAACAGAAGGGAAGGGAGTATGGGCTCTGATCGGAAAAGCACACACACATGTGCATGGAGCAGGCAGGGAGGTGATAAACCCCACCTATCTGTGAAGAAGGAAGGACTTCGTTAAGCTCAAAAAGGAAAAATACAGATATTGACCCAGTCTCCCCACCAAGCTTGGTTTCCACCAAGCCTGCAGCTATAGGAAGAGCTGCCTTCTGACCTTGCCAGACATGTGCAGCACCTTCTGCCTCGCTGAGTATTTTTCATTTTGGAAAAAAATTAACAAAAAAATTATGATAATGAGAACCCTCTGCGGCTTTCTCAGCTCCGCTGCAAGGAATGGGATCCAGACAAACCGCTGGAGGGGAGGAAGGCTTTTGGATTCTGTGTTTTATTTTATTAGGTGTAAGTGAGTTATTTTGATTACGTTGGCAAGAAGTGGGAATAAAAAAGCCTTATGTACAGCAGCGCTGTCCCCTCTCAACCCACCTCCCCACGCACACGTGCACTGCTCAGCACCCACTGCCATGCAGCTTGGCCAGCAAAGGCCCAGGGAGGCAAACTGACAGCCATGCCTCTGCATCCTGCAGTGCTCTGCTTTGCTGGGAGGCAGAAATGCTTTAAATTGAGTGGACTGGGCGGGGGAAGGGTTGTTGTTGTTTGAAACTGAAGCACGGAGGTAGGGAAGGAACAACAACACGTGCAAAGCCTCCAAGTTTTTTCCCCCCAGCGCTGGGCATTGCACTCAGGGGATTTCCCATGAATGAGTGGCATTCCTTTCAAGCTGCCACGGAGCTCTCTGTGTGTGGTGACATCGTGGCTGAGCTGCAGCACAGTGACAATGATGGGCAGCATCTGCCAGGCCTGAGGCCCCAGGGAAATCAGTGCTCCTTCCTGACACCTCTTACCTGTCGGCGGGGGGAGCGGGCTCCATCCTCTGCCCCTGAGCTTTGTGTGATCCTCACATCAGTCCTCCTGCTCACCAGTTCCCTGATCTGCAAAACATTCAGTGAGGTCACTGCCAGCTGGGACTTTACAACCACGGCCACATTTTACATTGTGGCCAATCGGAGCTAAATGGAGACACCAGGCTTGGATGCTTCAGCTTAAAAACATGGGAGGAAATAAAAAGCTGTCTCTCCTTCAGCACTGTCAGCGCAAGGAGCAGTTGCCTGAGATGTGAAGTACAACGCTGGGATAATTCAAAATATTTCACATTCTTTACAGCTGACATTGTAACCCCCCAGTGCAGGTCTCCCAGTGCGGCCAAAAGCAGGCAGCACGCTTTGCAAGTCTGATGCTGAGCGAACATTTAAATGGGAAACACGAGAGGCAGATCCAAGGCCATTCAGAATTGCATTAAAGCATATCAGGGCTCCAGCTGCCTGTGTAGCAGCAGCATCATCCTCCCGGGCACACTCCCTATGACACGGATGTCTGTGTGGTCCAGAATGCCAGCAGGCTCCTCCCCTACCAGAGAAATCAGGGAAATCTGAGATCTGCTGTCTCCATGCTGCCAGGAAGGACCCAGAGCATGCCACAGAGTTTAAGTCATTTACAACCTAATTTGTGCAAAGATCTCAGTGATTGACCTGACTGCCTGCATGGGAGGGTGGTCCTGCATGGCTGCTTGCATGCGTACACGTGTATGTTCATGCATACATACATATACATACATGAACATAAGGAACAGTTGGAACGAGCAGCAATTAAAATGAACATAAAAGCCAATCAGAGGCAAATACCTGTCTGCCAGTCTCTCCTTGCCAAGCTGGAGCTGGAACCATTCAACGAGGGAAGACAGGAGCGCTGCAGATCAGACAGGGTTTATTTTTAACTTCAGTTTTGCCTTCTTTTCTAAGGGGATTTAGAAGCACTTACTACACGTGTGCTTAGGACAGCCCCTCATTCCCCCATCCCCTTTGGCTCTCAGCCTGCAGCACTGCTCCCCCTGACCTGGGGAAAGGCACACAACTGTTTCCCCATAGCGAAGCCAATAACTGAGAGAGGAATTTGTCAGCATCTGCCTTGCTTGTTGGTGTCACAGGAGCAACCTGGATGGCTCTGGCAGTGTGCACAGAGCCAAACCAGCATGCCATGCTGGCACAGCCTCTGTCCTCAGCACAGACCTGGGGAGGGGAGCACAACAAGGGATGAATAAACACTGTGTGCAGGGATGAATTCTTCCCATGGAGCTCCAGACACATAACTCAGCCTCGTTCCTGTTGGAATGAATGGCAGAATGTTGCTACAGGCAATGTTACATGGAGCAGGAGACCCGGAGCTCCCCGCAGAGCATGGAGAGGAAGGTCAGGCTTCCTCCCCCCGACCTGCATCCTGCCTGAGGGGTCTCGTGCTCCCAACACAGCTGTGAGCTGCTGAACGTGCTGCTCCAGAGCAGGGCTGCACCCAGGGGACAAAGCAGCGCCTGGTGCAGGCATGGGGGTATGGAGATCTCTGCACGAGGTGGAAATTTCTGAAGTGCAACTGAGCCTCCATCATCCTCTGGGATGCAACAGGAGAAAACAACACACAACTTTTGCTTTGTGTGCCCTCCCCTCCCCCCCTTGCAAAGTGTTCATCCTCACCCAGGGACAGCTTGGTTGCAGTGATGGGGATAGGGCCGGGCTCTCAGCTCCCCTTGCTGGATGTTGGGAAGGGCTGCAAGGGAAAGAACACTGGGAGTTGGAATACCTTAGGCTTCACCCAAACCTGCCTGCCCACCTCCCCCAGAGGGAGGTTTCACACATTAAGATGTTTGTGGCAGGCAGTCAGGCAGCACTTGGGCTTTTCTCTCAGCCCTCCTAACAGAGATGGGCTTCCCAAGGACGATGGAAAACGATGGTACAGGGGACACCTCCAGTGCCTGGCTGTGCTGTAACACTTCCACAAGAGAGCAGAGGGAAGGCATCAGTTTAAGAGAAGAAAACCAGCCGTTCCACTGACAGTGCCCACTCTGCACCTCCCAGCCCACCTGCCCTTGTGCACACACTGCAGGAGTGTGTTTGCAGCTAACAAAACTCTTCCGTGCTGTCTGAAGGCCCTGGGGTTTACCTTCTGCTCAAGTGCTGCTTGAGCTGAAACACGTTTATTAAGAAGGGATGGAAACTGCAGCAAGAGCCGAGCATTCAGCAGCTGTCGCAGCCAGCAGCAAGCTCCTTGGGGTGTGCAGCCCATGGAATAAGCTACAGTGCAGTGCTGCATTTTACTTTCCCTGAGCTGAAAGAGCAGTGATGGAAGTCCATTTATAGAACAAACCTTCCTGCCTTCAGACCCTACACCAGGTCAAGTTCGAAGCAAAGAGCTCTTCCTTCCCCATCTCTGCAGACAGAGCTCTAACCCAGGCCGTGCACTGCCTCCAGAGCCTGGAGCTCAGCTCCCAGCAATGGCAGCAGCAGTGCCTCACCCTGCTCTCATCTGTCAGGACAGGGATCAAGGGGCTCGCCTGCTGTATGACCTGTGGGGGCAAGGCAATTGACCTCCACATGCAAGTCAGCCAATGGAGCTCAAGCAGCAGCAGAAAAAAACCCAAACAGCATCACGGAGCCCTTTAGAAAAGCAATGCTGAGCTGGAGCAGTGTTTTCCAAGGAAGAGAAGCTACCAGCACACGCAGGGCGCAGCTCCCTTACTGCAGAGCACAGTGATGACATCAGCTCTCTGTACGGCCACTTGTCCCCGTCCCACACTGGAAAAACACTTAATTTTTTTTGTCTCTGAGGTTCAATATCAGTTCAAGCATACGTGGTTTCAACCACATTCAGCAACCTTTAAGCAGGCGACGGTCAGAACCAGCAGTGGGCCGGGCCAGCACCAAGCACAGCACTCCCGCCTGCTGTCAACAAGAGGCATTTCTCTGCTGCAGACCAAGCCCAAGGGGTTTGTGTTCTCGATGCTTCTCTGTGTGATGGAAATCAGCTACCTACACGCTGGTATTTTACTGGAACCTCTTTAACCACCAGGCATTTCTTCTCAAGAGCAAGCACTTCTGTGAATGAGACGCAGATCACCGAGGGCTGCCTGCCTGGGGAGCAGTGTGGGAAGGGGAGCACCCTAGTGCTCCCCAGACACCTTGGTGTCTTTCAGATCCACCTTGCAGCACACTGCATGCCAAGCAGCCCAGCTGCTGGCTGAAGGAGGAGGCAGCAAGGTGATGGCTCTTCCTAGGAAATGGAAAGGGTGCGGGAAGAGCGATGGAGCTGCTGGCTGACCCAGCCTGCAGTGAGTGTGATAACTCACCGTGCATGGACAGGACTCATCTTGCTACTGCAAGGACTGATTTCCTTACTCCACCATCTGGCCTGAGTGCAATGAGCCTGCTCAGGTTCTCAGAGCTGCTGCAGGCGGTGCTCGTTACACACCAGGGAGCAGTAAGTTCAGTGCTGTACTGCTGCAGAGCACGTAGGGGTGGTCTGCACCAGCAGAGCCACTTCTCATCCACACACAGGCCAGGCAGAGGGCTGGAAATAAGGGCCATGTGTTTTTCAACTTACATTCTAAAATGCTCCTGAAGGACGAGCAGCATCTCACCACGGCTTCACTGGGTCTCAGCATCAGCGCTGTGGGTCTTTCATTTCTGCACAGCCATCCTGCCCTTATATTTTAGCAGAAATACAAACTGTGGCACCATGCAAGGACTCGCAGCAATGTGGGCCTTGACTAACGTATGGCACAGCAAGGACATCTGTCTGCAGGGGAAGGAGGGCACGAGGCCACTGCAGCAGAGAGATGCTGTGTGTGCTGGCAGCATCATCAGCTGAAGGAGAAGAATTTCTGCACCAGAAAATGTCAGTGAGTTTGAACTAAACTTGAACAGGAACATTTCACTGGAACAGGTTACCCAAGGAGGCTGTGGATGCCCCATCCCTGCAGGCATTCAAGGCCAGGCTGGATGTGGCTCTGGGAAGCCTGGCCTGGTGGCTGGCGACCCTGCACACAGCAGAGAGTTGGAACTGCATGAGATTGTGGTGCTTTTCAACCCAGCCACTCTATGATTCTAGGATTCTACGACTGAAGCAACAGCTCAGGTGAAAGAAAAGCAGGGCGTAACTCCAGCACAGAAACCAGAGGAGTGAAGGAGCTCAGAGCACTGTTTGCACCTTCGCTGCCTACAGAACGAGTGAGGAAAGGTCCTCACTGTGCTCCAGAGCCCAGCTCCTCCCCTCCAGGAGTTCTGTTAAGGAGACCTGTTGAGGTGGGGATATTTACGAGCAGCCCTTTGTTTCTATTGCAATTAACGGGAGAGGTTCACACCTACAGCCAGAATTAGAAATTCAAAGGAAGAAATCAATCAGTAACAGGCGCACATTCACCCAGGCATTTTAAGAAGAGGCCATGAAACAGAGCCCTGCTATGCCCTGACATCCAAGCATTTTGCTCACATGCCTCCCCTGTCCTTTTCCATTCACCAGATTTTTACTATCCCCACGGATGAAGCTCCATGCTGCTCCAGCATCAGAAACATCACGGCCATCAATACTGTTTTTACATTTGCTTTAAGCAGCTACACACACTGTTATTAATCTTCTTGCCTCGCAGACGGTGCCCTTAGGACCACCTGTGCTCTGGCTTTGCCCCCACAACACTGCCCAGCCTGGGATGCATCCCAGTCCCTCTGCCCTGAGCTTTTCACTTCGTTTGAGGGAATCAAAGCTGAATGTCATCTCTGTCTGTGCAGGTCAGGTGTTGGCTGGGGGCCCACGGCACCCATTAATCAATGCTTGCACTGATTGCATGGTAATGCTTGGGGGGATGTGGGAAGGGGGTGGGGAGGTGCAGTGATACACCTGGAAAATACCCTTCCAGATGGGATCTCAGAATGGGACGTCTGGGCAAAACCCATCCAAGTAGGGGGTGCCTGATTTCCATCAGCCTTTCTTTGGGCCCCCAAGGACTGAAAGCAGAAAACAAAACGCAGAGAAACAACACCAAAAAGCATCAAAAGCAAGAAAGGCATCGGCATCTCCAAAAACAAAACAGAAAAAAAAACCAACAAAAGGAAAAGAAGGGTGGGGAAACCTCCTCAGCATTGACAGCAGCGCTTTTTGAACTTCATTGGTGGCACAGTCTCACATTTCCAAGGCTCTCGACACAGGCGTTGGCTCCAGTGGTGAGACCATCTGCATCTCTGTTTTGCTGGGACTGCTTTCATGCCGAGGGCCGGGAAAGGGATGGAAAAGGATTCCATGAGAACCGCGTCTGGAGCTCCCACCCTCTCTCCCTGCTCCACCCCTCGCCCAGAGGGAGGGAGGGGAGGGCGAATGGAGAACTCCAACCCCCTTCTGCTGCTTTCCAGTAGCAGCCAACAGCTGCACCACGCAGCGCTCACCCGACAGCCCTCACCCAGCCTGCAGGGACGTGTGGGGACGTTCAGGATGGGAAGATCTGACCTGGTTATCAAGGAACACTTCCTACCAAAAGCAAACATCTCAGCGAAGGAAATCGCCGTGTCTCCGTTGAAGACATGGAAGATCATTGAGGTGAATGACTGCAGGACCCCAGCGGGGCAGGGAGAGCCCCCCAGAGCATCCCTGCATTTGGGGAGTGATGCCAGGATGCGTTGCAGCAGTGTTGGCCTTCATTTTAGAGATGAAGCAACATGTGCAAGGTGAAGAGAGGCAACAGATACAGGGCTCAGCTCCCAGCAAGCAGTGGCATCAGCTCCCAGCAGCTGCCACTGAGCGAGGCAGGCTCTTGTCTCCATCAGAGCAATGTTTGCAGGGTCTGGAAGAGTCGGGGTGGGAGCTGCCTCGCTGCTGGGGTAGGACTGGGAAGGGAGGCACAGGCTAGCACAGTAACACTGGGAAGAATCTGCATTTCATTGTACTGAGAACTATTCTCACACTTCTAGAGCCAGCAGCTCTGCTCCATAGGCGTGCTAATCATCCGAGAGTCACTGGGGGAACCACTAGTGCCTGCCTCTCCTCAGGGGAACATGCAGACAGCTTTTCATTCCTGCGTTCGGTTTCCTCTCTACCCTTCCCTTTCCATTCTGGCTGGCCATGCAGATCAACCCAAGCCTCCCTCCTGCCACGGTTGCTGCAGCAGCCCTTTCCTGAAACGCTCTATGGGTGGAAAGCACTTAACTTCACCCTGCCCCCGGGGCACCCTGCAGCACACAGTCTGCAGCCACATCAGCCATGCTGACAGGACAGAGCTCTCAGCATTGCCAAAGCAGTGCACGAGCCAAACCCTCCAAGCACCCAAACCCCGAGCACACCTTGCCCCTCTCCGGCCCTCCATGAAGCCTCCCTACCCACTGCTCCCTCCATCCACCTCCATCCCCAAGCTCAGACTCCCCGCACACCCCCAGGCTCCCTTACCTCTCACTGCTGGCAGCCCCACTCTGCAACCTCACCACTCTCCATCTTCTATTTCCACACACCGCATCCCACAAACCTCTCCCCTGCAGCTGTCACACACTGCTTTTCATTCCACTCGTCGTTCAGACACCCCTCTCTTCCCCGGGTTCCTATCAATCAGCCCTGCCATACCTTTTTCACAAACCTTCCTGCCTATGCTCGCTCAGTCGCACTAATTAACGGCTCTCACTCACTCTTCCCCATGCTCCCCACCTGCAGCCTTGCACAAAGCCTTTCACACAGCCCTGGCTGGCAGGGCCAGGTTATCACTGCTCCTGGGATCCAAACAGATGGGAATTGCCCCGCTGGAAGAAT